ACAAGCTTTTCAGAATGAAGGTACTTAACCCTATCAAATAATCAGCATACATAATCAGTGATACTTATTTTCAATAAGATAGTTGATTAATTTGCTTATACTTTTATTCTGTTAAAAAACATAGTCTATCTACTTATGTGTCAACTTTTTGCTAATGTACTGGGCTATAATCTCTGTTTTCTATTTGAAACATCATTTTGAGCAGAGTCAAAGAGTTTTTGCAGGTGGGATGCTTACAATGACTGGGGATGTTCTTCCTTGTTTTGATGCCTCAACTATGGTTATGCCGAACGATGCATCCTGCATTGTGACTGTCCCTATTACGCTGGACATTGCTTCCAATCATGGTGTTATAGTTGCAGCAAAATCTGGGATTTCAAATGATACTAATTCCATCAACTTGGTGGAGAATCTGCTTCAGAAACCTTGCTTGGACGAGCTTGTTAGGCACCAAGCTATTCTGGATGATGGTAGAACATTGCTTGATACTGGGATAATAGCAGTTAGAGGTCAGGCATGGCTTAATCTAGTAAAACTTGCCTGTTCGAGCCAATCAATGATCTCAGAACTTCTGGAAAAGAAAAAAGAGGCAAGTGATCATTTATTAGTGGCTTTACTCAACTCTTTTTGGTATTTCCATGTACCAGTATCTAATACTTGGAAATGTGTACTCTTCTCTTAGAAGAAATATTCTGCGTTTATTGCGAGAAGTTTATCATACTAGATAATTGATACTTCATTTGATGTGCAGAAGTGTATTATTTCACCAAAAGCATTCTTTTATTATGGTCAAAGAGTGAATTATTAAAATTTTCGTTCTCCTTTCTGTTAAATGTTCTGTAGTTTTGGCAAAAGCACTTCAAGTAACTGAGTGCAGAGCCATTTGAGTCTTTTAATATCTTTTCCCAGGATAATTTGTATATAAGGTGGATATTTTCTTGGTAGCTAGTTTCTGAAGATGCAATAATTTGGCCTGTAAAACAACAAATATTTAATATAGCATCTTTCTCAAAAAAAAAAAACACAAATATTTAATATAGCATGATAATTTTTTTGTTTCCTCCATTTCTGATGTACTCTTAATTCGCTGATGACTTTCTCTTCGTCATATATCTTTATTTATATGCACCGTTTCCCTAATCTGGATGCTATTTGATATGCAGCCATTTCAGTAACCTAGTGGGTTAGAGTTTGTTATTTCTCATTTAATCATAAGTTTGACATACCTTAGCTCCATTTGTTGCAGAAAATTCTTCTCTTTCTTGCTATTGTGTCTGTACTTCTACTTGTTTGTATTGGCACAGAGAAAAGAAGTTACTCTTCCAGTAATCTAAAGTCATAGTTTAGTTTTGTTATTTACATTCAAGTGGTTCTTGATCTATGTAGGTGAGTTACTTTTTTGACTTCTGTTATTGGGCAGATGAGTTTGTATGAAGACCTTGTAGCCGCTTGGGTACCAGCAAAGCACGAATGGTTGCGATCCCGCCCTTTGGGTGATGAACTTGTCAACAGTTTGGGAGAACAAGAGATGTTCAGCTATTGTGCTTGTAGGTTGAATGTTGTTGACTGTGTGATGATGTTAGTAATTTCCTATGTCATTGCATATTTCAGAGTCTGCTTCCTTTTTCTCATGTGTGTAAAGAAGCATTAACCAAAATGGCCGTCTACCCATTATTATTTTTTTTGGAAAATAAGCACTCTTTTGAATGCATTCCGAAAATAAAAGAGTCGTGAATTGATTAAGAGATTGTCTCCATGAAATCACTTAATCATATAGTGACTTTATTTGAATGGGAATGTCCTAGTCTTAAAATCCTGAAACATAATGGGATTGCTAACCCATCTTGGACTCGATTTATAGGTGACATAATTTACATTAATTAATACAGAAGTCACTCAACTAGGTAAGTGGATCTTAAATACTATAACTTTAGGACTCTAGGATTTGAAGAATCAAACTTGGTTAAAGAGTTATGGACCAAAACAGTATTATTCATACAAAATATCTACTGTTGCACTCTACGGAAACCTTAACTGTGCATTTACTATGCTTATGATACGTGTAAACTGATTTTTAGAATTAAACTCATCTTCTTTTCTTGAGTTTGATGCAGGTGATCTATTATTCTTACATTTTGGAACATCTAGTGAAGTTCTAGACCACATGAGTGAAACTGGTGCTGGACTTGTTGGTCGAAGGCACCTCTGTTCTATTCCAGCAACTAATGTTTCTGATATTGCTGCCTCAGCTATTATCCTTTCCAGTAAAATAGAGCCAGGAGTCTCTATAGGAGAAGACTCTCTCATTTATGATTCCTTCATTTCTGGTGGTATACAGATTGGTTCCCAGTCTATTGTTGTTGGTGTTAATGTGCCAGCTACCAGTGATACGACAGAAAGGTTACCATTCAGATTCATGCTTCCAGATCGTCATTGCTTTTGGGAGGTTCCTTTAGTGGAACGCACGGAAAGAGTTATTGTGTACTGTGGCATCCATGATAACCCAAAGATTCCACTCTCAAATGGTACCTTTTGTGGAAAACCCTTGAGGAAGGTTTTAGATGATCTAGGCATTCAAGATACAGATCTGTGGATCTCAGAGAATACTCTGGAAAAATGCTTGTGGAATGCCAAAATATTCCCTATTCTTCCATACTTTGAAATGCTCACCTTGGCGTCATGGTTAATGGGCTTGGACAACCAAATAAATGAAACACTACGTTCTTCATGGAAGCGGTCCCAGCGGATTAGTTTGGAGGAGTTGCATAAATCCATCAACTTTTCACACATGTGTTTAGGTTCTAGTAATCATCAGGCTGATTTAGCTTCAGGGATTGTCAATGCTTGCCTTAACTTCGGCTTACTTGGCCGCAACTTAAGTCAGTTGTGCCAAGAGATTCTTCAAAAGGAATCAACCGGAATTGAAGTTTGCAAAGGATTTCTATTCCATTGCCCAAATCTTCAAGCACAAAATTCAGCAATCCTTCCTAAGAGCAGAGCATATCAAGTTCATGCTGATCTTCTACGAGCGTGCGGCGATGAAGAGATGGCACTTGAAACTGAGCAAAAGGTATGGGCTTCCATTGCTGATGAAACTGCGTCTGCTGTGAGATACGGGTTCAAAGGTAAAATGACGTATTAAAAGTTGTTACGAACACTGACCAACTAAATCCAAGAACTGTTTTTCTAACACCTATTATCTAATTTCTCTCACATCTGGGTACTCTTTTGACTGGACAGTCTGGTGTTTCTTTTATCTTCCTCCTATTGTTTTCTTTCTTTTCTTTCCTTCAATTTGCAATGCTTCACATGTGGTGTAAATAGAGTCTGTTAATGAAATGTCATTTCTTTATCAGAAAACTTAGCAGGGTCTTCCAGTTGGTTCGCATCAAATCCTGATAATACTAGTGGTTGTTGCGGTGAGTCTTTCCACCATAGGACGGTGAAGATTGAACTACCAGTTCGAGTGGATTTTGTTGGGGGTTGGAGTGATACACCTCCTTGGAGTCTAGAGCGTGCTGGCTGTGTTCTGAACATGGCAATAACATTGGAAGATTCTCTTCCTATTGGCACAGTGATAGAGATAGAGAAAGGGACTGGGATATTTATTAGTGATGATGTAGGAAACCAGTTATCAATTGAAGATCTATCATCTATTGCCCTTCCATTTGAAATCAGTGATCCATTTCGTCTTGTCAAATCTGCATTGCTTGTAACCAGTGTTATCCATGAAAAGATCCTTCAATCAGTGGCCCTGCAAATCAGGACTTGGGCCAATGTTCCTAGGGGCAGTGGCTTGGGAACTTCTAGCATCTTAGCAGCAGCCGTTGTTAAAGGGCTTTTACGTATTACTGATGGAGACGAAAGTAACGAAAATGTCACTAGACTTGTTTTAGTCCTAGAACAGCTCATGGGCACTGGTGGTGGTTGGCAAGATCAAATTGGAGGTCTATATGCTGGCATCAAATTTACTGCAAGTTTTCCTGGAATACCATTGCGGCTTCAAGTCATTCCCCTCTTGGCTTCTCCTCAGTTAATAAAGGAGTTGCAGCAACGGCTTCTTGTAGTTTTCACTGGTCAAGTAAGTTGCGAACTCTAACTAAATTCATTTGTGCATTCATCATGGTGCTCATGTTTTTTTTAGTGGTTGATTCATCTTCAAATTTACACCCATTACAATCCAACTACTAGTTCTGTTCTAGAGTTTATCAACTTCAGCTGTTGACAATGTATATGCAGGTTCGACTTGCACACCAGGTGCTGCATAAGGTGGTTACTCGTTACCTTCAACGAGACAACCTGCTAGTTTCAAGTATCAAGCGCCTCACTGAACTTGCAAAGATTGCTAGAGAAGCTTTCATGAGTTGCGACATTGATGCCCTTGGGGACATAATGCTGGAGGCATGGAGATTACATCAGGAGCTGGATCCTTTCTGCAGCAATGAGTTTGTTGATAAGCTTTTCGCTTTCTGTGATTACTATTGCTGTGGATACAAGCTTGTAGGTGCTGGTGGTGGGGGTTTCGCCTTGTTATTGGCAAAAAGTGCTGAGTCCGCTGAGGAACTGAGACATTCACTCGTGAATACTTCTGATTTTGACGTGAAAATCTATGGCTGGAAAATCTTCTTGGAGAACTAGCTGAAGTTAATCTATCAGTTAATTATTAGTACATTCTGTATATTTGAAATTGTACACTCTATAGTAGAGTTTTTTACAATTATGAGAGAGCTTGGGTATCGACACAAATGTACCACGTAATTTCCTGATATATTTGTAGTTTTAATGAACTCACTCAAAAAAGTGATGTTACGAGCTAGGAATCAAATTCTTACAAGGAACGCAAAAGCTGAACGGTGTTTTGTGTATAGACTCCTTCCTTTCCGAGTTTGGCAGTATTTTATGTGTCTACTGTCTACAAGTATAATTTTTGAAAATTATTCTTGCCTTGTCAAAGTGGCAAAGAATTGCATCTGCATATGCAGTTTCACTTGAACCTACTTGACTTTTGACAATTCTAGATCCCTTTTATCCAAAAAAAAAAAATAACAAGTAAAACGTAAAAGGGTAAAAAAAATGCCCTACTACTACTGGAAATAGCGATTTCAATTGCTGACCCTGGCAGTCAAAAGGAGATGAATAGAGACAGAAAAAGCAAATCGGTAATAATTTTCATCGGTAACGTTTGTCGAGTAGATGCTTCGGTGAGCCAATAACCTTCTACCACGTCATTTTGTCTTCATTATGAAATGCACTATGTTTCTTTGATTAATAATTTTTTCTTTTTTGTAGGTGGGTTGTTAAAGATTGCAAATTTATTCCAAGTACATTTGCATTCTGGGGAAGAGGGAGAGAAGATGGGTTTGTTGACAAACAGAGTGGACAGAAGTGAGATCAAACCAGGAGACCATATCTATACTTACAGAGCTGTTTTTGCTTACTCCCACCATGGTAAATTTACAATGCCTCCTTCCCAATCACTCATTTACAAGAAATTTGTGATAATTTTCTATGTCTGGGTGTGTTTTCCTTTTTTATTTCATCTCTTTTTGGCCAGAAGTGATGATCTTTGATGCATATTAGAAAGCTGAAATGTGGCGTTCTTCTAAATTACTAGTACTAGTTCTATTTACTTACTTGCATTGGGCAAATCGCTGCTGTGTAAAGTTTGAGTCTTTTAGTCTTTGATTTGGTTCTGAACACAAGATTTGTCTTTTCACAATGAAGTACTCCCTCAGTTTTTAATTTGTTTGTTTGGTTTTGACTTGGCATAGAGTTTAAGAAAGTAAGACTAAACAAGGGAATTAAAGAAGTTACTTTTGAATCTTGGGGTCTTCAACTAAAGATATAATGATGTATCAAAATGCCTTTAATCTTGTAATCTTATACAAAAAGGAAAGAGACTCTTTTTTAAACGGACTAAAAAGTAAAGAAAGATGAACAAATTGACTAAGAGGGATTAATAGTTTTTATTTACTTCCATTTGTTAATTAGAGTCCTCTTTTGTGACCCTAAAATGGGTAGAAATTACACATGCATTAAGGAACTTTTTTGTTTGTGTTTGAGCAATAAATAGTTTATTCTGCAAATGGAATGTATATTCAATGATGTATATTTGCTTTATATTGGACTTTAGCTATGCTTAAAAGCAGGAAAAGCCGAAGACTAATTTGAGCAACACATAAACTTCTAAGAGGTCATTTTATTTGATAAATTGAAATACTCTTAACTTCTCTGTTTCAGTTGGACATAGTGGGATGACATTGATCAAATTATAATAGGCATTGAGAAGTCACTTACACCATCAGCCAGCTCTCTAACTACCGAATTTCATCATTCTGAGTTTTCTTAAATTAGATGGATGTCTTTGTGTATTTTATAATACAAATCCATGAAAGCAATGGCAACATTGTTTTTAGTGCTGAACTGATAGCTCCACAAACTGCTTCAGGCATTCAATGAAGGTGGGTTACCCACAATGCATTGTTTTAGCATTTTTAGGTGTAAATGGACCAACTTGTGCTCCCTGTATTGGCTTCTCAAATGATTAGTCACTCTCTAGTTTGTGTTGTCATCTGATTCATTAGTGTTAGGCCTCATTTATTTGCACTTAATGGAGGTATGAATCTTAATGATTCAGATTCAATCCATTAAGTTTGTTTGGTTTTTAAGTCTGAATCTTATAATTGTGTTCTCCTGCCTAGTTAAATTAAGGCGTATAAGTTGTTCATGTTGTGGAAAAAATTACCTCCGAATCTCCTACAGGGTAACTTAGTTAAAACTTGTATCAAAAACAGATTTCTAGACTATGGTTACTGCATGTGTTTTATCAGCCAGCTACAACAGCCCCCGCCCCATTTTATTAGGAAAAGAAGCTGCAGCCACTAAATTTAATCATGTCCTGTTCCACTTGGATGCTTTTCTTAGTTTTAGGAAGTGAATTTTTGACAAATCTTGGAAGAGGATTGGTAGTCTCCATGAGATGGCATAGAATAATATTAGTCTGATCAACTTGATCATTTATGCCTTTAAACTAACCTTCCAAATCTTCACATATTTACAAATTTTCAGTGTATTTGCTGCGTGATGTAATTACTGTATGCAGATTTGCATGCAAGGTTAAGAGCTGGGCTAAAGATATGTCCTTATTTTTTCGGTGGTCTCAGTGTTGATGCATTAGTTCTTAAATTTGAGTTGTACAAATATTGGTTCATCCAAAAATCTTGTTACAATCATGATATCATATGTGGAGTTGAATCAACTCTTATACACTTGTAGACTTCTTGAGCGTCGATTCATATGTTAAATGGTTAACTCTTTGTGGACATAAATCTGGTCTCTGCAGGCTCCTTTTCTCATGATTTTGCTTCATGGTTCTCTGGTGTTGTTTTCTTCATGCTATCTATACCTTATGACAATAATAACTGGAAAAGTTACTTTTACCCAGGCACTCACAAAGAGACCCTGTAATATCATGTGCATGGAAGTACTCTGCGCTCATCAAACTATTTTGAAAATTCTGTCATGTATGCTTTGATGTTGGTAGATCTGAGAGTGGCCTTTTTTAAAAAGAGAAATAATTCCTGTGAATCAGCTGCAGTTACTAAGGCATACAAGTCATTATTGACTATTGAGTCACCGCTGGTTCATATTTCATATTGATCCAACTTATTATACTGTTTGGACTAGTGATAAATGGTAGTTGCATTTTTTTGATGAAGATGATGAACGGTAGTTGCATTTTTCTTCCCAAAAATTAGTAGAGAGACAATCATCATATTCACAGGTCTTAGCTTCTAAGCAATTTGGTGTGGTAGGTATTTTCGTTGGCGGAAGCAAAGTGGTTCATTTTACACGGGTTGAGGGCTCTTCTGATGCTGCTAATGAAATATCAGGCATTTCTTCATCCTGTCCAATCTTTCCAGACTGTGGATTTAGGCTTCCTAACAGCGGTGTTGTACTTTCTTGTCTGAATTGCTTTCTCCGCAATGGTTCACTCTACAGTTTTGAATATGGAGTAAGCCCCTCTGTTTTCTTATCCAAAGTGCGAGGTGGAACTTGCACTACTGCTGTGTCAGACCCTCCAGAGATGGTTATCCATCGAGCAATGCATCTTCTCCAGAATGGATTTGGCAACTATGATGTGTTCCAAAACAACTGTGAGGACTTTGCGTTGTATTGCAAAACAGGTCTTCTGACACTAGATAGATTGGGAGTTGGAAGAAGTGGACAAGCTTCTTCTGTTGTTGGTGCTCCTTTAGCTGCGCTTCTTTCTTCCCCCCTGAAGTTTCTAATTCCTAGTCCCGTTGGCATGGCCACTGTTACTGCAGGAATGTACTGCATGAGCAGATATGCTACTGATATTGGTGTTCGAAGTGATGTCATAAAAGTTGCAGTCGAAGACTTAGCTGTAAACCTTGGCTGGGGTCGCAGCAATGAAGGAGCTATTGTGGAACATGATGATTCTATTCACTTACTTGACAGATGACATCATTCTCAGTGTATTTTGTAGGAAATGCTATTGATGTTGTATTGATTTGTGATAAGAATTCTGGTCCAGGAACTGCCATTTGGCTGTCCATATGTGCTACCATATCCGATGTACATTGAAAATAAGTTCTTGGTATTGGTTTGTTATCCTGTGTGCAAAGATTTGTCCATACATTTTCTGAACTAGTCATTCTAATCATGTAGAATATGGACTTGCTGCAGATTATCAGCTGAATAACGCTCTCCTTCCCTACCGCAGCTCCCTTCCTTGTCGACACCCCTTTTCCTTTAATGGTTGGGAAAAACATTTCCTTGAATTTGGTAGGCAAGAACTCTGCCAGGGCCATGGAAATTCCGGGAAGAAACCCAGAGAAAAGAAGTATTCCATGGCCTTCCCCGCAGTATAAAGGTTGACCTTCTGATATAAACAACAAATATTTCACCACTGATTTATGAGAACCTTTAAATAACATTATATATGAATATCATTACTATTTAATTTTGAGTCTTTGACATGAATGTGAATTGATCACTATGTTTAGGTTGATTGAATCACATAATTCTCTGTTTCAACCTTGAGTTGACAGGGTAAAATAAAACCAGTAAATTCATGCCTCGTTAACTGTATGCCTTCTGGCGATGAGTCAGAGATATGATTAAAACTTAAAAGTAGCTTAGATATAACTAGAGCTGGGTTTGGTGCATGCTGCTTCATGCAGTTTAATTACCTTAGATCTACATATTATCTTGATAATATTTCTGTTCAATCGCATGAAGAATAAGAGGCTGAACTTGTGCCACATTTATTTTTGTTCTCATAAAGAAAATTAGGTTATCTAAACTCAAATAGTAATATCATGACAGATTCATATGGAGGAACAAACTCAAATAGCTTAGTTGTTATCATTGTATCATTTATATTTCTACTAACTAGTGAAGTTTGCGGAAATGCATTTGTGTCGACATAATATGTAAAAACATGGTTCTTTATCCTCTGCACTTATTTCAAGAGTAGAAAAATGGAGAAAGATAGATAGAGAGATGCAGCAAAAGAGAAGGAGATAGAAACTTCATCCTATATTTCCTCAAATGTTCCTACTATAGTAATGAAAGTCATCTGTTTTCTGTACAATATGCAGTTTACAGTTACAGATGTCTCATAAAAGCGGAGAACCTGTCAAAACCCCACCATGTCTGGTTCATCCTATGACGGTGATTAACTCAGACTTTTTGAAGAGTCTTCATTGTTACTTCATGCTCATTACCATCATTTCCATTTATCTTTGTTTGAGTTTGTTTGGACTTCATGCTGCTTTCGTCTCTAAATTCTGCTTGGCTTGCCAGTTCTTTGACCTCCTCTACAATCCCTTCTATTCTTGATGCTATTTCTACGAGCAGTGATGTTAGGGTGGCCATTTGAACAATTTCCATGAGTGATAAAGCAGTTGATTTCAAGCTAGGCTCTTCTGTACCATTAGGGGCCTCTTCAGTTCCGGGGTCTGGGGTTGGTATATGCTGGTAACTTGGGAAGATTTTGAGGGCATTTTGAAGGCCTTCTACCGAAGAATTCATTTCATCAACAAGTATATCTAGCTTTGTTGATTTTTTCATTGTTTTTATCATACTCGACATCTCTTTTAGCACTTTGGAGGAAGTAGTACCTAATCTCATGCAGACATCATTGAGAGGCTTCTTAAGGAACTCAGGAGTCTGGCACAAGCAAAATAAGAAAGATTTAAGCTCAAATACTATCTTCGCAGAAAAGACTATCAGCAAGACTCATTCAGATAGCTAGAGATGTTTTAATCCTAGTGTTTTTACCTCAGTATTGGAGTTAATACTGCCATGGAGAGTCTCAATGCAATAGGCACAGCTTCTCATTGAAGCTCCAATCTTGAGGTACTGTTTCCATGGATGTCGGAAATTGAATTTTCCATGTGCTGGCTCCCATCTGGCAAAATTGGCCTGTCATATATATTAAGACATTTAGTTATCTTTTATTAGCTAAATAGGATACAGATATTACAGGCTAGATCAATCGTTATCAGAGAGTTGATTACGAACCATGGATTCTTCAGCAGCCTTAGAATTAAGTACACATTTGTAGCCTTGCAATTTCTTACTGGAATCTTTCTCATGTACATTTTTACTGCCATCTACACTGAAGTTCTCAGCAGCATATCCTGAATATTGAAGGTCAAGAACTATTAGTTTCTTCTATAATTGATGAGAGGATATACTTTTGATGTCATTATTCATTTGACAAATGTATATTACCTGCCAAGGAATCAGCAAGTTTTTCCAGGTTGTTACTAATGAGATGATGCAACTCAGTACCTGCCCATACTGGACAGAGAATCATGGTAATGAAAATACAGATGGAGGCGCCAATAGCAATAGTGGAGACCCTTTCATGAGCCAATTCAACCAACTTATCAACGCGATAGCCTGACACTGACACTAAGCTGAAGGTAAGGATAAAGATCATTGCACCATAGTCAAATCGCGCTTTTATTGTAGGTATAAACCGAGAAAAGGTTGCTGCAGCAGCTGCAAGGAAGACAACATATTAGGTCCATCTACAGTCATTTATCAAACAGCAATCCATGACTAGTAAGTACAAAGTTTTCATAAACATACATATCTATATATATAGGAAACTGTTACATACCCAAGAGAAAAACTGAAACTTGGAGAATAACAGGCTCAAATTTATCTCCTGCTTGACTTGCAACCCAATGAACACCAATTCCTAGAGATCCAGCTAGACATGTTCCAATAGCTCTATTTACACACTTATAAAGTGTAGAACCTGCCATTTTGACTCCAAATCAGTACTCATGTTGAATCAATAAAAGAAAGGACATAACAGAGAAGAATCACACTCACCTACAGTATACTCAAAAACTACTACAACAGTCATAACAGCCCACATAGCATTCCCTCCAACACCATCATAAAGAGGCCTCATGTAATAAAACACTGACACAAGGGAGAGAGCCAATCCTACTTTAAGGCAATGAACAACCTTTTTTGGCTCATTTACAGCTAAATTCCATGCCTTGTCAAGAAATGCCTTGATGTTTAAAACAATCCCCATAACTAAGCTTTGCAATCTACTGCATGTCTCCCTAGACTCTGGCGCTAAAATTCGCGATGAACCATTAGGCATGTTAACCCTCCATTCCAATCTTCCAGCCACTTCATTTTCCTTAACCATCTTGTCCAAATTCTCTTCTTTTTTTGTCTGCTAATGTTTGAGACTGATTTGGTTAAAGGTTGTTTGAGAAAGACTGCTGAGGTTTAAGACTAAACTTCAAATTACCATGTGTTTGTTGGACAAGTATGTCATAATAATGCACACATCACACACACACACATATATATATACTCACGCTCCAACATTTAATTTGTACGTTTTTAGGGATTGTACGGGAAAATTCATATTTTAGTTAGGTAAGCTCAGGCATTTTTTGTTTTTAAACAAATAGTGGACATTGATTTGATATTCATATTTATTCATAGTGCTTGTTATAAGAACACTAACAGGCTGCCTAAAAACTAACATATCGAAACTTTTTTTTTTAGTGGAACCGAATGTAGAACGTCACTAATTTTATTTTTGCTTTTGTTTATTTATCGACCAAGATTATCTTCATATCTTAATTATGTTGTCCTTTTGTATATAATTAATTTTTTGATATTTAATTTTCTACATATCTATCAGAATTTTAAGTATAAGTGGGAAAATTTATGAGTTCAACCTCATCTTGCATTCAATCAAATTACTTTTTTTTCTCTTTAATTTCTTTCTAATTCTATCTTAAGTTTGCTCTAGTGCAATTATCGGTCCACCACAAACAAAATGGAAACCAAAAAATTTCTATTCCATTTAGTTTCCTTGTTGTCCTTCTTATCCTTAATGTACTGTACATCTCTTTTCCTTAAAAATAAATTCCACATGTTTAATGTATTAAAATAATAATGCAAGACGACAACAATAATAACAATATACTCAATGTGATCCAACAAGTAATGCTTAGGGTCTAGGGAGTTGGTGTGGTGTATACACAATTTTTTCCTTGAGAAAGACCGTTTTCGATAAATCTGAAATATATGCGTGAGGGAGAGAGAAAGAGATCAGGATGCATTTGATTTTCCTTTAACATTTTAGTCTAAACTTTAAATTGATCGTGATGTATTATATCCAATAACAAGGCAAAGTGAAAAGAAATTTTATCTTCCGATCTACACTAAATATTATCTCTGTGTTTATGCTCCATTCTATCTATGTCTGATTAGTGCTATATGTCTAGACAAATTGCAGAGATTGGAATGACATAACAACGAAATCCTCTCAACTTGCCGTTAACCAAAAAAGTAAATCTTCACTACTTGCGCATAACTCTGGGGAAAAAAATGAAGTTAAATTAGTCTAAGTTCATCAATTCCTCGATAATGTAAAAGATGTTTTTAACTCGATCATATCACTTGTGAGGTAATTATATGTATAATTATCGAGTTCGGAGCCTAAATGGCAAAAGAAGTTGACAAAAATTCCAAAAGGGTATATCAAAAAAATTTCAAACCAAAACGATAAAATCGCTACGTCATTAGCGATTTAATTTGACGCCGTTAATTAAAAATCGCTCTTACTTTTTTGCATAAAAGAAAAATTTTAAAGGCAAATTGCTGAAGGGACAGCGTTTTTGCATTTAACTTTTTTTTTTTACGTTTTTTTAAAAATCGACTTATATATTCATCATCATTATTTGAATTGAATTGTGTCATATTACAGTATGGGAGAGTGTAGTAATGCTTTCAAGCACTTGAATTTTTTTCCATCGAAGCCATTAGATAGGTAAATAATTAAGGAAAAATTACATAATTTTGGTATATTTTAATAAATAATAACTGATTTTAGCAATATTTTTTTATTTATTATCATTTATAGCAATGTTATGTTAAATATGCAATATGAATTAAAAGTGAATTATGTATACAATACATATGAATTATTGTTGTTTTTTGAAATATATTATGTTTTTTAGGTAGAAATTTGACACATTGTATTATAAGTGAATTAAAATGTGTGATAAATATATTATCCATCATTAAAACTTGTATTATATGTGAATAATAAATTATTCTTTGCGATAT